CGGCCAGCTTCTTGTGTGGGAATGGCAGTCGGAATCGTACATTTTGAAGCAGCAGGGACATTTCGACTCGATGAACACAATCGCGTACTCGCCGGACGGTCAACGGATAATAACAGCGGCAGACGATGGCAAGATCAAAGTCTGGGAAGTCAACTCCGGTTTCTGTGTCGTCACATTCACAGAACATATTGGCGGTGTGACGGCCTGCGAATTCGCGAAGAAGGGAAACGTCTTGTTCACAGCCAGTCTTGATGGCTCTATCAGGGCTTGGGATTTACATCGGTATCGCAACTTCCGCACATTCACAGCGCCATCGAGGCTTTCCTTTTCGTCCCTAGCGGTTGACCCAAGCGGCGAGGTCGTATGCGCGGGCTCTATCGATTCTTTCGACATTCACATCTGGTCCGTCCAGACCGGCCAGTTGCTTGACAGACTGTCTGGCCACGAGGGCCCTGTATCTTCCCTAGCATTCTCCCCGGATGCTGGTACGCTGGTCAGTGGAAGTTGGGACAGGACTGTTCGCGTCTGGAACATCTTTGCTCGCACCCAAACAAGCGAGCCGCTACAACTAATGGCCGACATCCTATCTGTCGCATTCCGCCCCGATTCGAAGCAAATAGCCGTCACAACTCTTGATGGACAACTGACGTTCTGGAACGTATCCGATGCTGCACAAGAAAATGGCCTTGATGCGCGAAGGGACGTGTCCGGTGGTCGCAAGATGTCAGATCGGCGCACTGCAGCCAACGTAGCAGGCACCAAAGCCTTTACGTCGGTGAAGTACAGCGCAGACGGCACGTGTGTATTGGCAGGCGGCAACTCCAAGTACATCTGTCTATACGATGTTCAGTCTGGTGTGCTGCTCAAGAAGTTCACTGTATCCGTGAACCTTTCTCTCGATGGCACACAAGAGTTCCTCAACAGCAAGCTGCTCACAGATGCCGGGCCACAAGGTCTCATCGACGACCAAGGTGAAGCGTCCGATCTGGAAGATCGGCGAGACACAACACTACCCGGTGCGCAAAAGGGCATTGGCGCACGGAAAACACGACCGGAAGTACGCGTACCTGCTGTCGCGTTTTCGCCAACTGGCCGAGCGTTTTGTGCCGCTTCAACAGAAGGTCTACTAATTTACTCACTTGACAACACGTTCCAATTCGATCCCTTCGACCTAGACATTACCGTCACACCGGCGACAACTCTCGAGACTCTCGCACAGAAAGACTACCTCAAGGCACTGGTCATGGCTTTCCGTCTAAACGAGCGCAACCTTGTTCGCCGCGTATATGAAGCCACGCCCGTGAGCAACGTCGCTCTAGTAGTCAAGGACCTGCCATCAGTATATCTCGGTCGGTTACTACGGTTCGTCGCCCTCCAAGCCGACGAGTCCCCACATCTGGAGTTCAACCTAGTGTGGATCGAGTCATTACTGAGCAAGCACGGTCGATGGATGAAGGACAACAAGGGCGGTCTTGAGGCCGAGTTGAGAAGCGTCGAGAAAGCTGTTCGCAGAATACAGGCGGAGCTCGCAAGATTAGCTGATGAGAACATCTATCGCATCGAATATCTGCTTGCGCAGCCGCCGGAGGAGAAAGAGAAGTCAGCCCAACTCGACTTTGGGGTCAAAGCGATAGAGAATGGGATATCGGATGAAGAGATGGTTGACAGTGATGAAGGCGAGGATATAGGCGAGTGGATGGGCTTTGAAGAGTGATACCATTGTACGAATACGAATTTTGACGAACTGTTACATCTGGCTGTGTGTACCTGTCATCGCCGCGGAGTTCCTGCAATATGTACAATGGCGCCTGCGCGTCCCGAGGTTCTGATCACCAGCAACTGCCCTTGCTCGATGTCGCTCTTTCCACACCTTGAACCAGACTGGACAACAATGATCGTCAAAGCGTACATCGTGCGGCTTGATCATGGCTAACGCGCTAGGAAGGTGCGTGCTGCTTACGACGATCGCTACTTCATCAACGCATTGATGGAGGATGTATTGCGAGGAGGAAGACCCTATCACACCGCTTATTGTATACAAAGAATCTTGGCATGATCTCGACTCTTAGACACAGCAAAGACGAATATCTACATGAGAGAATTAGGGGTCAACAGATCGTCGCGGGCCGTTTCTGGTGTCTGAGTGCCGTCCTTGTCAGCCGCCACAACATTGCTATCCTTGCTACGGAAAGACGAAGGCATCACTAAGACAGTCGGATGATAGGCGGAGATAGTACCCAGCATCACTAGACGCCGTATTCTGTATCAGATGTACGAGCCGGTACGAGCCGGTTCAGGCGGTGTAGCGACTTCAAGTGTGTGGTTTGAGATAACTCTTGAATAGTAAAAGCTGTCAGTATGGCTTTTCCTGTCAACAGTTAGGTACGGTTTCTTGCTTTCTCCATACAATGACTACCTCCTATGCTGAGTGGTGGCTTTACTCATCTCAGACATCGTGCACGAAGACTGAACTTCATGGACTCGAGGGCTGTGTCAACGGAACAAACTCCGAATTGTTGTCTAGACTTCTGGTAAAAGAGGTGAGAACGGGCCGAAGTCTACAGCGTGCCGAATCATCCAAAATATTTAAGTTCATGCGCTACGCAGCATTACAGCCGTAGCGCGCCATACCAATTTTATGCAGGTCGTAGTAAAATGCACACAATTCAAGCCCTTGAATGTAAGCACCCAATTTAACAAATCTTACCAGGAGATACCCGGCCAAATTAGAAGTGCAAACTCTATCTGAGCAGTTCCTTAGAACGGTATGGCGTACCACCCGTGAGACGGAAGACTGTGGCTTGCTCGTGGCATACAAAAGCTACCCACCGACCGCCTCAGAGAATCACTTTACTCAGCAGTCTACATTCACTCTATCACAAACCCTTCAGCATTCTAGAATCATTCACTATGAAGCTGTCAATCGTTGCCGCAATGCTATTCACCTCACTCGCCGCTGCCGAGATAAGATACTTTTGCCTGAAAGGTGGAGACGCGATCCCAAAAGATGAATGGAGCTGTTCTACTGCAGACAACCGAGCATGTAAGCAATCTTTCGTACTAGCCTTTTCTTTTCTGGTCACTCGCTAACGAATTATAACCTTCTGTAGGCCAAAACAAAGGCTGTGCAGACACTTGCTTCCCTGGTGCAGATGCAGTTCAGGTATACAGAGTACAGTTGTATGTATCACGTCGCAGACTCGAGAAAGGTAGAAGCTTACTTCAATTACAGGAAGAATCCAGATGCTTGTTTCTGCTATTGCAGAGAGCTGTAAAGATCGTTCAAGGAGGATTTGGGGTCGGCATGCTCACATGATGTCCCCCAATGATGTTCAAGTACCGCTTCGATCCTACCTCGGCCCGGCGCATGCCGAGCTTGGGTATACCTTGGTAGCGATCGCGTTCATAGTGATATATACCAATACACAAGAACCAAGTTACTGTTATCACCTCGTACGATCGTACAAAGGCTTACCCAGATACGCGCTGTGTCAAGAGCGACGTACTGCTAATACGAGGCTGAAGAAACTGTAATCGTCGCATGTGATTTGGCTCCGTTCGGGTACGGCACCTTCCCATGTGAAGATAGGAAAGAGCAGGGAAGCTACACAAGATGGAAAGGGCGGAAGGACATCAACATGGTCAGAGCAGTCGCGCACCTCGCTGACCCAAACACCACTTTCACTCCACTCACAGTCACACTTCAGCACACCACCACATCGTTATTGCGCTATCATATCCTCACCTTCACATCGCCAAAGTCCAGATACTATCGCTATGGATACTTCAGCGTACCAGGCTCCGCCCATACCAACTCTCAGGGCGCGGTCGTTTTCCTGCCCCATAGGCTATGGAAAAGCATGTGCGAGGAGATTGCCGGGCGTCTAGGCGGGGTTCGCGCATGATATGTTCCCGGACACACACAAGGAAGCGACGTCCAAAGAGCCTGTACGAAGCGATTCGCCGCAAGGACCTCCATCACCAAAGCTCGCCGACGGGCCCACGACGGTTGACTCACCAACGACAGTTGACTCACCCACGACGGTTGACTCACCCACGACGGTTGGCTCTCCCACGACGGTTGACTCTCCTACGATCGATCCAAACGCGATACACCCGAAGAGGCTAAGGCTGATTCTGACAAAAAGGTTCATGAAGAAACGGTACGAGGCGGGACCCAAAGATCTGGCACCTCTGCACATTGGCCGACATCCAATCCCGTGGCGTATGCCCAACGAAGAGGATCTTCGTATGATCTTTGTTCCAGAACTTGTCGAATGGATACAATCGTCCGACTACCAGGGTCACGCCGCCAATCGCTGCTTTTGCTCCCTCGTTCTACACATCTTGAGCAAACGTCTACCCGACGACGTCATTCACAACGACCCCATCGACCGCGATGACTTTCGGGGCAGACTTGGCGAGCTCTTCTCGGACGACGGGATGCCTCTCGACCACCTCCTTGATCACTGTGCGAATGGATACAATATCCAGAAGGTCAGGAAGGTGCACAAGCGACCAATGACGCATAACACTTAGACGGAGTATGTTGGCATGTTGTGCGAGGGTATCATCTTGATGAACGAGGAGCCGTCCTCGCCTCCGAAAGACAGCCCTTCCACGCCTCCGAAAGACAGCCCTTCCACGCCACCGGAAGAAGATCCTTCCACGCCGCCAAACGATGACACGCCCAGGGCAAGTAAGGGAAAACAACCGAGAGCGGCGTCAGCTTCACCAGAGCCTTTTAGAGGGCGTGCGCTTACGTATGAGCCTGACGAGCGGGTAATCTACCGGCCTGCATCAATGGACGATTGGAGGCGGTGTATGCGTTAGCAGTAATGTTGTTGTCTAGTAGGTACACTTCGAGTCGGAAGCTCTTTCATTTTCACTAGGACAGAACTGGAGGTACTCCCGCAATTTCATCTCTTGATTGCTTGCTGCAGACTTCTACAATGATCTGTTGAGCCCAAATCCAAGAACCACTATCACCACGCGTTCATCTAATACCCTCCACCTCGATGATCCCTGTGATCCCGGCGCGGATCGTAGCCATAGCCATAACCTCCGTTGCCTTGACCATATTCTGGATAGCCCTGCTCCCCATTGCCATGATAGCTCTCGAACTCATTCTCCTGGTTTCCAGAACGACGAGGCGGTAGTCGAGGATGACGTCGAGGAGGCGCATTGCCATATCCAGGTTGTCCAGGATACGCACCAGGATCTTGAAGGCCCGCCCGTCTAAACTGGTGTCGTAGCCTTTCCATAGTGTCAACGTAGGCTCCGTCAGCCGCGGTTGTCCATTGTTGCGCCGCAGATGCCCATCCTTCCATCTCTCTCTGACGCTCGATACGTCTCCTTGCGCGGTATGCTTCATCTTCACCGTCCACGGCTATGCCTCGGCTTTGCCTATCGTATCCTCTACCGTTTGTGCTTTCGTTTCGCCCATTCATCCTACCATGTCCTCCATTGATCGGACCTCTACCAACCATCCCCATCTGCTCCATCTGCCCCTGCAGCTGTCTCGCCATCTGCTCATCCCTCCCCGTATCTAGCTCCACCGGAAGACTCTGCTGCAGCCTCCTCGCAACTTCTTCATCACGGCTCGTGTCCATGATGACACGCCGAGGTATGGAGACTTGGCCGTCGTAGTTATCGAAGAAACGTTGCATGAAAGCTGCTTTGTCCTTTTCGTTGCGCACTTGAAGGAAGGCGCGGTGGAAGGTGGCTTGGGCGGCAGGCGTGGGGAAGTCGAAGCGGAGGATGGGGGCGGTGAGATCGAAGTTTTGGAGGGTGTGGGGGGAGGATGTTATTAGGCCTGCGGGCTGCGGTGGGTTGGTTAGCGCGCTCATTCCGGTGTTGTTGAATAGTTGTGATTGAGTGTAGTTCTGTTGAGTGCCGCTGCTCCAACTTGCGTTGTAATAGGAAGAATGTATGAGAAAAATAAGTGAGCGAAGAATCCTTTGACCAAGCGAGAAAGGTGAAAGTTAAATTCGGCTGGCAAGCTATGTGACCACAGTGCCAACGGGTTGCCCTTTAACCTCGTGCGTCGACACGTGTACATCTTTAACGCTCGCGTGACTAGAACGTGGTCGGATTAGTGGTAATTGCCCGTAGTGAGCTTCATCTACTCGCTGGAAAAGACAGTTTTGTACATCATGTTCTGGTCTGGCCATGTTACAGGAGAGCCATGCACGTGAAAGACATGCCACGCGCTCTTTCAGTACCATCGATTGTCTTCGAATAGATATCATTCTCTTCCTTGCTCAGGCTCGATTGAAAATGACATTATCAGAAGTAGCTTAGCGCTCAGATAAGGGAAGGCCGAAGCTAGACTATTGTTACTACGCTCTTACTCCTCGGAAAGAGATTCCATGTATCGTCTAGAGTTTCGACCGAGTTGATATAGTAATTCGCAATTTCTTCGAATAATAGACCTATACGCTCAAAAACGTCTGAATCTGACTCCAATCGCCGAAGTACGAGCGCAGTACGCTGCTTTGAACTGTCCAAAAGCAAGACGCATACTGTTGCTGAATGTGTAACTTGGGAACCATGTGTTGACGCGCCTCTAACTGGAGCATCAAGGTAAAACTTCTTTTCTTGACCATCCGGAAATGTGATTGAAGGTTCCATATAGCCTCTTTCTCCTGTTCTTTGTTCCCATTTCACCGAGGAGCAATGTGCAAGCAGACGGATCGTGCCTGACTGAATCTCTCCATACTCGTCTGTAGTCTTTGGAACGATCTTGCAGTCGATCAACTGTGCTAATATCTCAGAATCTTTTCGGGGATAATGTGGAGTGTAGAAAAAGGGGCGAATGTGAACGACTGGACCCTCCACAGAAGCCCATGACCATGAGGGAGCTCTCCATCCAGGCCTTGGTTTCACGTGGTCTGCGCTTGTGACTGTCCAGTGAAGGTCTCCAACGAGCGTATTTCTCCAGAGCCCAGCCAGATATTGATCGTCAGACCCCGCGAGTCGTTTCGCGAGCCCTGCTAGCGTTACAAGTTTGTCACCTGGATAAGTCAACTGTAGATAAGTGTGTTGCCTGATGATTTTCCTCCACAACTCTGCCGGGGTTTGTGTGGGCGGTGTTCCGGAAGACAGCCACCGTTTTGGATTCAGAATAAGGACAGACCAGGTATTATCTCGGATACCAGAACACTCACATCGATGCTCTTCCATACACTCAAACAGTAACTCGCTGCGTCCAAAGTGTAAGACACGGTGAGATAGCAGGCGCTCTTGAAAAGCCCAAGCCCTGTTCAAGAGGGGATATACCTGTGCTAGAGAACCCGTACACAGGTATCCGTCGAAGTGTTGTCGCTCGTCACTGAAGATATATGTGCATATCTCATCGTCGCTCGGACAGATGGAGACCTCGTACTCGGGACATCTTCGAAACAGACCTTCGGTGCCCGATTTTGATGACGTCGCTGAGATAGTGATCAGTGCGTTCTGATACACAGTAGACATGCGAGATGCTTCTTGTGCCCAATCGTCATGGTCGTCCTGCACGATACAAAGCGAATCGATCTGCAACGTTATTGTCCGAAGCCTGTAACTGCCCAAACCACACCTACCTAGGTAGGTATATCAAGAACGGGGGTCTTACCCAAAGATATTGAATGTTCAGCGCCCGGGTTATCTGCACTGCTTCTCGAAATGTTCTGGTCATCTGCGCAACAAAGATCTTTTCTTTCCTTTCCAAGAGTGTGGCTTTCGTTGTTGTGAATTGGGGGGTAGCGCCCCAGCAATGACTAAGAGCGGCGTATTTCCCATGCTCTCCAACCTTCTCAACCAGCTTGAGAATGTCTGCGTCATCCAGACCAAGATCCAGTAACCTACTTGGTAAGCGCTGGACGTTGTCGCTACCGCAGTATTCGTGGTTAGCGATACAGTTTTGCAACCACACTTTCGCTTTTTGGAAAGCTGCGGGCGACCCAGTGCAGCCTGTCGTACGATGGAATATACTAGAGCGAGAAAAGTCATTGGAGTCCGATGGCGCTGGAATCTTTGTTAATTCTCCATGACTACCAGATTGAAGGGTTACTGACAAGCGACATCCAATATCCCTATCCGCAGGGAAGTTGACGCGAAGATCAACTCGACGCTGATTCGTCCCTCCAAATGCGAGTGTGGCTTCCCTTTGTCTCTGAATTGCAAGACTAGGCTCTTTGGGGTCCAGTCCTGTTTGCCATCTTCATCTAGCCAGCCACGGCAGCCACGCACGATCGCATCGCAATAGACACATGTTTTTGCTGATTCAACCACTGCGTCCCAAGAATGTCCAGGTTCGACATTACGGACGTATGAGTCGTGCCTGTAGGAACTGTAGTTGCGACACCATCCACGAACGTGTGTAGCCGGATTTGGAGGCGAGGTACCTATGACGTCAAGTGGGGCAGTCTGTGAGGAAGAAGGGGCGTTGTCCATCAATGTGTCGGTGCGTCGTTCTCGACGGACGACGGTCGGCTTGTTTGATGGAAACGGTCAGTGTAAAATGTCAGGTGCGCAGTAGCACAAAGTTCAGGACATGTCTTCAACAGGTTGCAGGTGGCGAATAAATGCAACAGGCACTGTGCCACAGACTCGCAGTGGCGGGGGATTATCACCGTAGTGCTTCCGAAGGTGACCTTCAACTTAACGCAATCCAAACAGGTCTTGTACCTAGCCCTGAAGATACACAAATTATCGGAATAGGAAACAAGGCGTTTCGCCCGTCTTTTTGACCTTCAAATGACCTTCATCTTTTCCCTCAACAACCACAGTACTGCTGTGACGCACCAGACACTCTAGCGAACAACATTAAAGCTATCGCAATTATATCGTATACTAAAGTATAATCTTAAAGACTAAGCCTAATCTAGAACTAGACCGCAGTCTAAGTCAAAGGCGCACTTAATTCTTTCTTCATCTTATCCCTTTTAAAGCGAGAAGCCCAGTGCGACAAAGAGACCCCCATCGTATTTTCTCACACTCATCAAGCACGCGATCAAAGACAGACGAACACAAACCAGGCCAAAAGCCCTCACCCATTTCGCCGGATCGCATAGCCAGAGCACGGTCCAATGTCCACATTTCATCACACATTTACCGACGAGCCCCGTCATCCCTCTCGCGCGCCCGCACCGAAGCTTTACTATAATATTCCAGCATCGCCAACGTCTCCGCACGATTTCTACGAATATGTTCGCGCAGCTCTGCCTCAGTCATGCGAACACGAACAGGCCTGAGCGTTACCGGCTCGTCGCCACCACCACCCCGTAGATTAACCTTAACATGTTGCCACTCTCGCTCTTCCGCATCAGACACGACTTCCCAAGAAGAATTACGACTGCGATCTACTAACACGAATGTATGTTCATCTGAAGATGGTTCCTCTTCTTCATCGGCGGCGGCGGGTAGTCTGAAGTCATCCGGAATCCAAGGGTCTTCATGCGACGCGACGATTTCGGCGACATCTGATTCTTGCATCGGTACCATCTCGCTAGGCTCAAAGTCTTGGTATTGAGACCTTCGGTTTCTCAACTGACGAATGTATTCGCGGTGGATGAGATCGTCTTCGTTGATCCGACGTCTCTCGGCTTTTAATCTGCGACGTGGATCTGGCATGTACACCCCATGTTCAAACGGTAGCGGAGAGGTTGGCCGCATGATCTGGCGTCTTTGTACTCGCGGATTTGACGTATCTAGGAAGTTAAGCGCAGGACCGATAACATGCTCCAGCCGTTCGCGTGAAGTTCTGGTGTCGTTGTAGGTCGGAAGAGGATTGGCTCGGGCTCTTGGTCTCGGCTGCTCAGTCATGACGAAGTAGAACGATATCAAAAGAGGTACAACAACAGGTAGGGTGAGCAGTAGCAAGTCGAGCCAAGACTGATCTTCGAAGTAATGGATAGCCATGATGGCAGCAGAAGAAGCAGTAGGGAAGAGCGATTATCGTGTGGTGTACATATACTGCCGACAAGTCGTTCGTCCCATGTTTGCTGGACTGGACCAGCACTTTCCCATAACGCGAAAAGGATTCTTCGTTCGTACGCGTTTGCTACTCGTTATTAGTGCTAGTTCGAACGAGAAGGGTTTGGAGATTGTCTCTACCGGGTCGAACGCTGCAGACAGGCGGGGATATGAAGGCGTATGTGGTCGCTTGCTGCCTCCGCGTGTTGGTATTGAACGCAGTGCATACCCTAATGATATCACTTACTAGACCTCGGGCTGCAACAAAGCTCAAGAGAAACGCAATTTTCGATACTAAGCTTGCGCTATGGATAGACCAGTGCGAACATCAACTCAACACAATGGACAATGACCCAATCCAAGCATTGAGTCCACGCAACGATCAATAACTCAATCCACCAATCTACTTCTCATCCATGTCCAACCCACTCATCTCCTCACTCAACCCACTGATGTCACCCAGGCTCATATCCTCAGCCTCACTGTCGCCCAAAAAGATGCGTTCAAAGTTCATGTCACCCACATCGCTAATGGGCGCGTACATGGGATCCGTCATCTTGCGTTGAGCAGCCGCCTCGAATTCGCGATAGTTCTTCTGGATCTCGTCTTGAGAAAGCTCGTTCGAATGACGGTGCCGCTTTGCGTTATCACCATGACCGCGCTGCTGACCACCAAGACCACTGGCATTGATGGCAGAGTTGGAAGAAATACTGCCGCTCTCTTCAGATTCGCTGGTGAGACAGATTGGCGAAGGTGATCGGGGGAGCAATGAGTCGTGTTGTTCCATGGGAGGCGTAGGAGGTAAAACGACTGCCTTTCCTTTCTCAATAGGAGATCTCTGTCGGTCTTCGCCCTGTGGCTGCGGTAACTTGGTGGCAGATACTATTGGAGT